TGACACCATCCCTACAGATTCGAGCCCGCTTTTTGTACTCACCCTCAGTAATCTGACCCTCCTTCAATTTCCTGTACATTTCCCTTTTTAGTCTCAGCTCTTTAGAGAGTTCCTTGTTCAGCCACCTTGGATTCATTACCCATCTCCCTCCTTTCTTTCTTACCTGAACAGTTTGAGATTGTGCCTTAAGCGCTTCATTTTTCAGCATCACCCATCCTTCCTGTGCAGATTTCCCCCTCAGCATTTCCAGCCACGGGATCCTACCTAATATTTCTCTGAGTTTTTTGAAATCAGCTTTCCTGAAGTCCAGGATACAAGTCCTACTATGTCCTGGTTTCACATCCTTCTCTATGTCAAATTCCAAGCTGACATGGTCACTATTCCCCAAGGATCCCACAACGTTCACGTCATCAGCCAGTTCTTCCCTGTTAGTCAGGATTAAATCTAGGATAGCAGATCCTCTGGTCCCCACCTCCACCTTCTGAGAGATGAAGTTGTCCGCAAGACTATTCAAGAATCTGTGGGATGCCCCATGTCTAGCAGAGTTAGATTTCCAGCAAATATCTGGATAGTTGAAATCTCCCATAACCACTACATTCTGTCTCTGTGAAAGTTTAGCAAGCTGTTGTACAAATGCATCATCCAGTTCCTCCGGTTAGTTCGGAGGTATGTAGTATACCCCCACAACAATATCCCCTTCTTCCCTGTTAGTCACTTTCAGTTTTGGGGGGATTTAAGTACCCCGCTATACTTTTTAAAACATCTCAGTTTTTTCTGCACACTTGGGGACTGCCCCACGTGTGCAAGAAAATCTGTTTACCCTCCAGGTGCCCCCGGTGTGTGGATTTAGATATCTGCACGCAGGGGGCGCCTTGGCTATTAGATATATAGATATATATAAAATCAGTGAGATCTATTAAAACACAGATTTAAGCAAAGCCACAACATATAAAAGCACAGGTGCTAGAAACATAGGTATTAATAAACGATGGCAGCATTCCCTCTACATCCAGATGGTCAACTACCACCATAATCTGGATTCTTGCCAGGCTATCGGTTATTAAGTTGGTACTGATGTTGGGGCCAGGGCCACAGTATTGAAAGGCGTCACCCTAATTGAAAGCCCGGTGGAAGAGCTCTGTTTTACAGGCCCTGCAGAACTGCAAAAGGTCCCGCAGGGCCCTGATGTCACATGAGGCCCTCCCTCTGCCAACCAGGTGCTGGGTAGCAGGAGACCAGAGGTGGGGCCACAGAGCTGAGAATGGAGGTCGGGAGTCTGTCCCTCCTGGCAGGAAGACCTCAAAAGGACAGTGGTGGCAGTAGTATCTTAGTGGAAGGAAGTGGAATAGCACCCTCTAGGGATTGGGGATGGCAGAGTTTGGCGAGGGGAGGAAGCTCAGAAAGGATGTGATTCCCTCGCTGCCATTTCTTCCAGAGGAACTGATCTCTGCAGTCTGGTTATCCGTTATAATTCCAGGAGCATTCCAGGCCTCACCTGGGGGATGGCAACCCTAAAGCTTGGACTCATCACTGGTCTTTCCCTGGCGACTGATTCTGGGTGTTGCCTTCCGGGCCGTTGACTCGGTCTGTGCCACTAACCCCCTGGCTCTCGTCTGGGAATTAGATCTGCGGGCGATGGCTTGAAGGAAAAAACAGGAAGACACGGGGGGTAGGGGGGATGGAAAGGGGTGAAGCGTGCCTGTCTTTAATTCCATCTGGATCTATTCCATTTCCCCCCGGTAGCATGGAGGAGTGTGAGGCACTGTGTACCAGAATGGCCATCCTGGTGAACGGCCGTTTCCGATGCTTGGGGAGCGTGCAACACCTGAAGAACCGGTATTTATTTTAATGCATTGATTTTTATTAATTTAATTTGTTTGTATACCACCTTTGTCTCCAGTGGGGACCCAAAGTAGCTTACATCTTTTTCCTGTCCTCCATTTTATCCTCACAACAACCCTGTGAGGAAGGTTAGGCTGAAGCACTCCGACTGGCTCAAGGTCACCCAGCGAACGTCCATGGCACGAGCGGAGATTTGAACTCGGGTCTCTCAAATACTAGTCCAACGCTTTTAACCACTACACCATGCTGGCTCTGACAAGCCGTGTGTGTGTTTGTGTGTGTGAAATGAGGTGTTCTGAGCTGATAAATTTGTCCTTCTGAGAGCCCTCAAATTTCTCTTTGTGAGCATTTGCTCTTGGATCACACCAATCTGTGAGCCTCACGCAGTTTAATTACTTCCTTTTGCATGTCGGCCTTCCAAGAGCCGGTTTGGTGTAGTGGTTAGGAACGCAGACTCTAGAAGAAGAAGAGGAGATTGGATTTATACCCTGCCCTTCACTCGAAGTCTCAGAGCGGTTTACAATCTCCTTTCCCTTCCCCTCCCCACAGCTGATACCACACTCAGAGAGTTTTGACAGAAACTGCTCCTTTTGAAGAACAGTTCTGACAGAACTGTGGCTTGCCCAAGGTCATCCAGCAGCTGCAAGTGGAGGAGTGGGGAATCAAACCCGGTTCTCCCAGATTAGAGTCCGCGCACTTAACCACGACACCAAAAGGTGGAGCCAAACATGAAATGGCTGCCGCAGAAGGCAGGGCCAAATGGAACACCCTTACACCTCCTGGGAAGAAGGAAAGCCTGAAGGGGAGGGGGGGTGGAACTACACACTGACTTAAAAAAAAAAGCCCAGGTGCCTTCCAGGCCTCCTGTGGGAATGCTTTCATGTGAGTGAAGACAGCCAGTGACAAGTTCTGCCTTACAATGGCACCGCTTACTTTCTGAGAAGCTTGGTGGGCGTCAAGGGAAGTGGGTGCCCAGGCACCTACAGGTACCACACTGGGGAACCGTGCTGTAATGGCTTCACCAAACTGGGACCCATCACACCGCCAGTGTGTGCCGCATTTTTTGGAAGATGAGGTGACAGACCCCTGCCCTGAGGAGGCTACAGTCTCAAACTTCAGGGGTGGGAGGTGGAGTCAGGGGCAGGAGCCGGTAGGAGAAGTTGTGGGTTTTGGCAAAGGGATCATGGAAAAGGTGGGTTTTGAAGGGTGGGAGAGAAAGAGGTGGCTTTGCGTCTGTCCTCAGGGAGGCACTAAGAGAGAGGAGAGGGTTGGTGGAGGGGGCGGGAGGCCGGCAGCTGGTGAGGTTGGAGGTCACGACTGGGGGGTGTTTTGGGATCAGTGTTTCCTCTAAGCTGAGTTAGTGTGAGCTAGCTCACAGTTTTCGAGCCTCCGGCTCACCCATTTTCGTCTTAGCTCGGGAAAGATGGCTCCAGAGCAAACTGATTTATGCAGTCGCCAAATTGCTCACAGCTTTAATGCCAGTAGCTCACAAAGTAGGGTTTTTGCTCACAAGACTCCACAGCTTAGAGGGAGCATTGGTTGGGATCAGGGGTCATTTCGTAGAAAAAGAGGTGCAGGAGCTCATTAGCATAACTTATTTGCATATGTCACACCCCCTGCCATCACCGGAAGTGTGTCAGAAAGCAACACCCACTGCTCAGGCTCCACTGGACTGTTTTGGATTGCTAGCTATGGGGGGGCGGGACGCACAGATCTGCCCTAGCAGAGGAGGGAGAGCTTATACCTGAATAAATTTTAGTCTTAAAGGTGCCACTGGACTGTTTTAGATTGCTAGCTGGGGGGGGGGAACGCACAGATCTGTGCAGGAAGGAAGGGGAGATAAAAGAGAAGGAAAGAGGGAAAGAAGGAGGGGGGGGAGAGAGCAAGGAGCAT